AGTTCTCTCATTAATTGCTATAACAAATAAATGAGTGAAAATAAATAAACAACAAGAGGTAATGGTCAAATTAGTACCTTCTTTTAGATCTAGATGTGTTAAAAATAAGTTGTTTTATGTTAAACTTTCTATAATTAATGCATTGAAGCAAAGTGTTTCAACGGGTTAAGTTGTATTCATCCTCACAAAGAAAAATCTTGCAAAATAATCAGGCTGATGAAATGATGTCATTAATTACTAGTACTCTTACTTTATATAAGAACTTAGTAAAGATGATACATATTGATTTAAAATTTTTAATTTAAGTTAATGTTAAACGTTTAAATTTTTACAAAATTAATGTAGAAAAAAAAAATGATGGGGCCTATGATCTTTTGCTTTTATAACCCATATGAAAGTAATTAAAGTAATTAGGTAGGCTAAAGTTCTTAATAAAAATCAGGATTTAAGTTAATATATAAACTCATGCGACTGATTGTCAATACTGACGGCTGAAACATAGATTAGTTGCAAGAAGACTGTAGACATGGATTCATTTTTTATTTTTTCAGTGTGTCTTCGCATTTGTTTGTACCGACATTAAAACTAATCTCTTTTAAGTTAAAAAGATGCACTCCGCTAAGATGACATTTGCTTGAGTCTCTCTAGATAAATATGATAACTGTGAAAGACATATAAATTGATTGAATAGTTAGAGGGCCTAAAAAGATGGGAAAATTTTTAATTTGTGTTTTTAAGGGTATATTTATTATTTTTTATAATTAATTTTTATTAAAAAAATTAAGAGTAACTTTAATTTTATCATTATATAATTAAAAGTATGCATATAAATAAAGTCAATTTTTATAATTTTTTTATAAAAATTAAATATAAAAAAATATAATTAATATATTCTTAACATGTACTTTTAAGGCATATGTTAACTGAAAGCAAAATGATTAGCAGCTATTTGTTGGTGTTGCAATGCAAATTTACTTTTAAGTAAATTTAAATTGGAAAATCTATTAAA